AGAACTAAACATCATATGAATTTGAAAAATATAATAAAGCTTTTACACACATCTTCTCTGAATTATCCATCTTTTCAGATTGCTAAATGTAAAACAAAACATGAGTATGCATGTCCATCCACTCAGCTTGGCAAATATAGAATAAAAGCATTAATACAGGTTCCTTTAACATACTAAACACTGAGAATCAGATAGAAACTAATTATTACAGTTGAATTATTCACTCCTTCTCCATAAAGATTCACTGTTTCATACTCATCAATAGAAAATGTTGTTGCAGTTTGGTGATATCTATATACAAGGAGATCATCAGGGTGACGGAAGACCTTGCCACCCAGTTGTAGGTGCCTGAAGAAAAATATGAGGTCTTCTGGTGTTCCCTTTCCAGCTTCACTAAACCCACCAACTCTGTCAAATACATCAAGGACAGACAAAAAAATACTTAAAGGGACAAGACTTTACATGTAATGTTGGGTCTCCATGTAATTGTAGAATTTACACAATATAGATTTGCCTTCAAAATAATGTGGGACTGACATGATATTTTAGACACTACACTAGAAGTAAGTTTAGTAATGGCAAAGCTTAGAATAAGAGAGAGAGAGAGAGAGAGAGAGTGAGAGTGTAGACCAACAGACAAAAAAGAGAAAAGATATAGAAATTTATACACATTACAAAACTGTACTGTTGAAATATGTCATAATCAGAGGGAATTTCTTTCCTTACCTGTTAAAAACATTTCGATGGCAGAACCAAGTTGGCATTATCACAGTAGGACCATGGGAGGTATACACTTGTATGGTCAGTTTGGATTCGTCAAGTTCATTTGCCCATTTTGTGAACCGTAGAGTTGAATCTGGAGGGTCACGTGTAAATCTGCTGCCAATAATCTGGTTGATAAGAGATTTCTGTTTTACTTCACTTCCAATAAAGTTTAGCTTTATCTGCATCTGTATCCGCATATGTACAATTTCATATTTTTGAGCCTTGTATTTTTTGAAGGAGCCTATAGAGAGATCCATAATACTTGATAAAAATCATTTATAATTCTCTCTCTCTCTCTCTCTCTCTCTCTCTCTCTCTCTCTCTCTCTCTCTCTCTCTCTCTCTCTCTCTCTCTCTCTCTCTCTCTCTCTCTCTCTCTCTCTCTCTCTCTCTCTCTCTCTTCTTCTCTTTCTTTCTCTTCTTTCTTTCTTTCCTTTCTTCTTCTTTCTTTCTTTCTTTCTTCTCTTTCTCTTTTCTTTCTTTCTTTTTCTCTTCTTTCTTCTTCTTTTCTTCTTTCTCTCTTTCTTCTTTCTCTTTCTTTCTCTCTTTCTCTTCTCTCTGTCTTCTCTCTTCTCTCTCTCTTTCTCTCTTTCTCTCTTCTCTCTTTCTCTCTTTCTCTCTTGTCTCTCTTTCTCTCTTTCTCTCTTTCTCTCTTTCTGTCTCTTTCTCTCTTTCTCTTGTGTGTGTGTTGCTGTGAGTGTGTGTGTGTGTGTGTGTGTGTGTGTGTGTGTGTGTGTGTGTGTGTGTGTGTGTGTGTGTGTGGTGTGTGTGTGTGTTGTGTGTGTGTGGTGGTGTGTGTGTGTGTGTGTGTGTGTGTGTGTGTGTGTGTGTGGTGGTGTGTGCGTGCGTGCTTAAATGTTAATACCTTTTTCTTAATTTCATTCCGATCACTAACAATCTCTACTGTATATACTGTATTCACTACCTACAGCTTCATGATTGTGGAATGCCATCTCATATTGCTTCTGAATTCTTGTTGGTTTCATTATATCATCCTGCAAAGTAAAATATGAAAAAGTTTTCATGATTAATGAAAAGATCAGCAATATTTTATTTCAAAAGTACCAATATCTTATAATGTAAGTGCAAAGACAAAATTTCCAAAAATAAAAAAGTAAGCATTCTAAGTAAGAACCGAAGCATTGTGTCTTTTTTCACTGACTGAAGTGACAATTTCTAATATGACTGTCATTTTATCTCATTTTAATATGAGATAAAATTACATATTTTTGAATAGGGTTTTACTTAATTTGAATTTGAATAGGGTTTCATATAATTCTGATTTGAATAGCATTTTAATTTCGGATTTGAATGCAGATTTATTAATTTGAATTCAGGTGATCAAATTAATATAAATTGATATAGAACTGATCTTAAAAAACAAAAACAAAAACAAACAATACAAGAACAAAGTGGAATAGCAGCTAATAAATCAAATGAATACCATCTAATTTCCATTTTAGAGATCACTGTTAAAAAAAGAGGTTATTTTAAGAAAATCCCTATAAACTAAATTTTGAAGTTCATAGATCACAATCAAAAGAGTAACACAAATGTAAAAAAAAAAAAAAAAAAAAAAAAAAAAAAAAAAAAAAATATATATATATATATAATATATTATATATATATATATATATATATATATATAAATATATATATATATATATTATAGGAAAAAAATCGATACATATACAGAATCCAAGAAGCACAGAAACTCTCCATGACTTTGTTCTACT